CCCGCCGGTGCTGGGCGAGGTGTGCAATCTGGCTGAAGGCCCGGCCGCACTCCTCACACTCATAAGGCTTCTCTCCCGTGTGTGTTTTCCGATGCTGGGCAAGGTGTGCGTTCTGGCTGAAGGCCTTGCCGCACTCCTGACACTCATAAGGCTTCTCTCCAGTGTGAACTCTCTGGTGATGAGCCAGGTGTGTGCTCTGCCGAAACGCTTGCCCACATTCCTTGCATTCGTAGGGTTTCTCCCCGGTGTGAACTCTCTGGTGAAGAGTGAGCGAGCCGCGGTGGCTGAAGGCTCTCTCGCAGAGCGCACACGCGTACGGTTTCTCTCCCGTGTGAATTCTCTGATGTACAGTCAGGGAGGAGCCATGGCTGAACGCCTTCCCACACACGTTGCATTTGTAAGGCCTCTCTCCGGTGTGAATTCTCTTATGCTGAATGAGTCCGATGTGGTCTGTAAAAGCCTTCCCACAGTCCACGCAGTCAAAGGGTTTCTCTCCGGTGTGATAGTACCTCTGGTGGCGGATGAGAGAAGCATTCTGCCTGAAGGCTTTCCCACAGTCAGCACATTCATAGGGCCTCTTTCCCGTGTGAATTCTTCGATGATGAGCCAGGGAGGAGCAATCGCTGAACGCCTTCCCGCACTCAGTGCACTCATAGGGTTTCTCTCCTGTGTGGACCCTCTGATGCTGAGCGAGGTGTGCAAGCTGGCTGAAGGCTTTGGTGCACTGCTGACACCGATAAGGCTTCTCCCCAGTGTGAACTCTCTGGTGCTGAATAAGATGAGCATTCTGGCTAAAGGCTTTCCCGCACTCGGCGCACTCAAAGGGTTTTTCTCCCGTGTGTGTTCTCTGATGTTGAGTTAGGTGGGCACTCTGGCTAAAGGCCTTTCCACACGCAATACATTCATAGGGTTTCTCTCCGGTATGGATTCTTTGATGAAGAGTCAGTGTAGAGATTTTGCTGAAAGTTTTCTCACAGTCTTTGCATTTCAGAAGTTTCTTTCCTCCACAGACTTGCTTGTGTTTTTTAACAAATGCCTGTGTTTTTAAGCTTTCCTTATCTGTGTCAAAATTGTATGCTCTCTCTTCAATGGGAAATATGTGTTTTACATAAGAAAATGTATTCAGATGAAAAACTGTCCCAGGTTTGTTAGAGTGGTCTTTTTTCTCAATGAGCGCACCTATATGATTGACAGTCTCTTGCCTAAACTGTGGCTTCTGACTTACCAGGTCCCTCCCAAATGGGTCTTCATCTCTCCAGTTTTCCCCTAATGTGGAACACTCTAAGTTACCAGAGCTTGCAAGTCTTCCCGTTATCGTTACCTGGGATAATTTTTCTTCGTAAAT